AATGTTGCCACTTCCCTGGTCCATAGATATACAAACATAAGAAAACATTAGAAAAGCTTTCAATAACCTCAGATCTTCATGTACATTTTAGACATATCAATCAAGAACATTAGAATTAGATACTTTACCAGGAGCTGGCTCTGGATTCTCAGCATCTTGAGATCTTCCCGGCTTGTCCTGATTATGGCTGGCCTCCATTTCTGGCTGCACTTTACTTGTCTGCATACATATCAGACAGGGATGGTCTGCTGCTTCATTGCTCATGTGGACAGAATTGATGGAGTGAGTTGGTGTCACTCAGCTTGCACTATGTACCATTGGATGTGAACATCACATATATGGAGGTCCACCAGAGAACTTGTGTATTCTCAGAGTACTGTACTCAGGTAAACAAACAACACAGTGTAACTAAGATCTCATATTCATGCCACTTACAGCTTCGGTAATATAAGTCTTTGTCATTATTATTTCATGACGGCAGGATCATTCCTGATCTTCTGAAATAGAATTGGGTTACTCATTTCTCCAGATGAAGAATGATCACTGATGGCATTACTGTCAATACAAACTCACAACACAACTTCAAATATGAGCAGCTCCAGGTTGTTTCTATTGTTTCAAAGTAGAAATAAACTCTCAATTTCTTTTCAATAATGAATCCAGATCAAATATACATTGCCCAGCAAAGTGTTTCTTTAAATCAAAAGAGCGGGGAGCAGGGAAGTCGTTTTCTGTGCCTGTGTGTTTGTGGAGACACACACAGCTTACTAGCACACACACAATGGTGGCTCCATAAGACCCTGCAAGAGAAAGGAGCCACCCTGAGGGCCCATTCACACTACATCCAGATCATCTCCAGACCAGATTGTTCCCGGACCCAAAATGCATCCTAATATATCCCTATGCTATTTCTGGCCTCAGTTCACACCAGTGCAGTACGTCAAGACCAGACTTGACAAACACTGCATGTCTAATTTTGTCTGGTCTGGGATGCACTGGAACTGCGGGCAGGTTCACACCATTTTCAGATCTGGTCCGGAAAATGGTGTGAACCTGTCCTAAAGCCGCATATCAGGGCTAGAGCTCAGGTGACCAGCTGATTCTGCAGGGGGGTGAGAGAGAGCTTGCAGCACCCCTGATTGTCTACCTTGTTCAAAAGTCAAGAGAGGAGTTTTCACATATAGCATTATTTATGCTTAGGTATAACTGACAACAGTTACTCATTTCTAGGAACAATACCAGATTTTCAAGAATTGTTCATAGAAATACAGTAATACCTTGGTTTACGAGCATAATTAGTTCCGGAAGCATGCTTGTAATCTAAAGCGCTTGTATGTCAAAGCGAATTTCCCTATAGGAAATAATGGAAACTCAGATGATTTGTTCCAGTACCCAAAAATATTCATATAAAATGATTACAATACTGTAATATAATACTGTACAAAATATAAAGAAAAATAAACCGATTACCGGTACCTTTGTGGCCGGTGTGAGGGGGACAAGAGAGAGGAGGATTATTGTGTAGGACGACTTTCACTATCACTAACGGAATCACTGATATCTCTTGACTCAATGGAATCTTTTTCATTTCGTGAAACCTTAACAAGGAATCTATCCAATGTGACATTGCATTGTCGTTAGACTCATCGCTCGCACTGCTACAGCCTTATCCGGGTGGCGCTTTTGTACCGAATTTTACTCTTATTGCAAGACATTGCTTGTATATCAAGGCAACATTTTTCAGAAATGTTTGCTTGTCTTACAAAACGCTCTCAAACCAAGATACTTGTAAATCAAGGTATTACTGTATTTAGTCTTTGACATATTCCTGGTGTAATAAAAAATGTAATAAAATCTCCCTGTCTTCAAAAAATAAAAAAAAACAGCATTTTATAATCAGATATAATGTAATAATATATGTGTCACACAGTATTTAACCACCTTGAAAGGGAAACACAGCGGAGCGGTGATCTTAGGTGCCTTAGTAGCACTTTAATTAGTGGGTGATACACAGGAGAGACGAAGCACTGCTACACCCAGACTCCTGAGAATCACCCTCTGCATTGCGCTTGCTGTAAACAGATGTTCACTGCAGACAATCTAACAACAAAGGAATTGGTTAATGCTCAAAATGTCAGTAAAAATGAACTGCAAATAGTTTACAAGTTACATGCATTGCTACAGAAAATGGGAGCATTAGTTATGACAAGCCAAACATCTCTTCCACTCCTTGGATTGAGATGTATTCTATTAGAAGAGGACAATCTGGTAACTATGTATAGAAAATTGTAGCACTAGAGGTGAGTCTGTATGTCACTAGTTGTCTGCAGTGCAGGTGGACCGCCATCTTTGTGCAGACACAAGAATTCCCTTCATACAACTGGCAACGTTTGGACCCATCGCTTCCGTCCTTCTTTTGTCTATCACTGTCCCCTTTAGGTCCCCCCCCCCCCCCCCACGCTTTCTCTAGTCTAGTCCTGGAGCTGGAAAAGTATCTGTACATGTATTTGTACTTGTACCAAGTACGGTACTTTGTATCTGAACATCCCTAGTTTGAGCAATAAGGTTTAATACTTACCTATTCCTCTCTCCAGCAGGCTTTGGCGCTCTCCTCTTTCCCCTGAAGCTCCATATTGTGGGTAGTCCCCCGCTGTCCTCACATACAATGCAGGACCACAGCTCCTGTCCTCATGTACAATGCAGGACTACAGCTCCTGTGCTCATGTACAATGCAGGACTACAGCTCCTGTCCTCACATACAATGCTGGACTACTCTCCTGTCCTCATTTACAATGCAGGAGTACTCCCCTGTCATCAGGAACAATGCAGGACTACAGCTTCTGTCCTCACATACAATGCTGGACTATTCTCCTGTCCTCAAGTACAATGCAGGAGTACTCTCCTGCCATCAGGTACAATGCAGGAGTACTCTCCTGTCCTCAGGTACAATGCAGGACTACTCTCCTGTCCTCAGGTACAATGCAGGCTCCTGTCCTCATGTACAATGCAGGACTACTCTCCTGTCCTCACGTACAATGCAGGAGTACTCTCCTGTCCTCAGGTACAATGCAGGACTACTCTCCTGTCCTCATGTACAATGCAGGCTCCTGTCCTCATGTACAATGCAGGAGTACTCTCCTGTCCTCACGTACAATGCAGGACTACTCTCCTGTCCTCATGTACAATGCAGGAGTACTCTCCTGTCCTCACGTATAATGCAGGACTACTCTCCTGTCCTCATGTACAATGCAGGAGTACTCTCCTGTCCTCACGTACAATGCAGGACTACTCTCCTGTCCTCATGTACCATGCAGGAGTACTCTCCTGTCCTTACATACAATGCATGTGTACTGTTGCTGTCCTCATGTACAATGCAGGACTAGTACTCCTGTCCTCACATACAATGCAGGACCACAGCTCCTGTCCTCATGTACAATGCAGGAGTACTCTCCTGTCCTCACGTACAATGCAGGCTCCTATCCTTGCGTACAATGCAGGACTTTTGCTCCTGCCCATGCCTACAATGCAGGACTACTACTCCTGTCCTCACTTACTCCTGCATTGAATCTGATGACATCAGGGAGTGACCAGCATAGAGGGGAAGAGGAGCGGTTTGGGGAGATCGGTCGTACAGCTAGGATTGCCACCCCTTCGTTTTTCACCCGGACAGTCCGGTTTTGGAGTCTTGTGTCTAGGTGTCCAGCCAGCGGGCACCTGGACACAAGACACTCCGTGCCAACACCAACACTTTACATTTTCTGCCAGATGCGGCTGCCAAGGTCCTCGACAAGCGCAATCTCAGGCAGCCACATCTGCCTGAAACCCAGATATTTAACTGAGCTGCGGGCAGCCTGTGCCTGTTTAAAGGTGCCTGCAGCTCAGGGGAAGATCCGGGTTTCAGGCAGATATGGCTGCCCAAGATCACGCTTGCCGAGGACCACAGCAGCCGCATCTGTGATTGCTCCTCTGGCTCTCTGACAACCTACGGACCCCCTGGTGAGACACCATAGCCTTGAGAGACGCACAGCCCACCTGAGTGTCGCACAGCCTATCTGAGAGCCCGCACAGGCCACCAGGCCACCTGGAGACATCAAGGCGCCATGCCAGTACAACACAGAGTATGTAGCTTCATATTATTTTGTATAGCTGCATAATGTATTGCTGGGATTTGTAGTCCTCTATAGCTGGTCTCTTTACTCCATCCCCTGGCTGCCTCTCCTCGCTCTCTCCTCTATATTCTCAACAAAAAAAAAGCGAGGCGCTAGAGTGTTTGGGTTTCACTTGAAGAACAGGTGGCAACCCTATGTACAGCACGGAGAAAGCCTGATCCAGGGAGATTTGAGGTAAGTATTGCTACTTCTTCCTCTAACTCTGGACAAAATTAGCATTTAGCCCTTGCCATGCAAGGGAGTGGGTTTGGTACTGCAAGGGTCACTTTTTTAGCTGCATGTAGGGTTGCCACCTGTCCAGGATTCACCCGGACAGTTCGGGTTTTGAATGCTGTGTTCGGGTTTCATGGCAGCAGAAACCCGGACACAAGATGTCAGGCACACAGGAGAAACCAAAATTAAGATAGGGGCTACTGGCCCCCCACTGAAAATAGTCTCAACTGTGATATTTAAATATGAAGGGGTGGCGCTATTTACATATGAAAAAGGCACAACTCATTCTTCCAAGAAAATGTCTGTGTGTCGCTAGAGTGTTCGGGTTTCGATGGAAGAAAAGGTGGCAACCCTAGCTGCATGGTGTCCGACTCATATACTAATATCTGCTGGCATTAATGTCTGTATTATGTCTGTAAAGCAGCATTTAGGATGTAAAGAATTATTTTTATAAATGCAGAAACTATTCAGTTATGCTAGCATTAGACTTTTTATTGTTTCAGGTTTATGTGCTGGGAGTTCCCTCAGTGCCTGTTGGACTCTGACAAAATGGCCGCCTTGTTCTCTAGAAGTGCATCTTCCTGTCGGAGCTCTAGTGACCAGCGCTGTGTCTAAGTATGTGAGTGCAGCTGCAGCTGGAGAGACATGCGAGGAGAACTCTGCTGAAGACTGATCATGTTAAGCAGACAGAATGAGGCTGACCGAACCCTCTTTGTGGGAAACTTGGATTATAACGTCAAAGAGGAGACCCTGTATGAGCTCTTCCTGCAGGTGATGAGTGAGGACAATGCAGAGGGATCAGGATGTAGAGGTTTACACCTTGGGTGGGGAAGGTGGAATTCTGATTTAGATTATTTAGTAAGAATGGAAATGTTTCTGCATGTGTCAGAACAAGTGTGTGCGTTGTGTGTTTTGTATTGTTCAGACTTTTTGTTTGCACTGATGTTGTTCTATTGTTGCATTGTCATCTACCAATGTGTCGTCAACTAGTAAACTGATTTTTAAAGCAGAACTCTTATTAAAACTTTTATTAACTCTTGCCAGTGGGGCTACTCTGGCGCTGCAAGGTTTAAAGGGTTATTAAACCCTCCATTTTTTTTTTTTGCATATATCTACTGCTAGCAAGCCGTAGATATATGCAAAAACATTTTTTTTTTAAAGCGGTTTAAACTTACCAGTGTCTTCGCCGCACGCTCCCGTCCGAAAATGTGAAAATTCTTGGGCGGGCACATGCACAGTTCAGATTTTCGGCCGGGAGACGAGGAGAGACACAAGGTAAGTCTATGGGCGCGTGCCCCCGCATGCAGACACCGTGGGACAGGAAGTGCCAGCAAGGACAGAGGAGTCAGCGCTGGATCGGAGACCCGCAGCAGCGCTGGAGAGAAGGCTGAAAATGACAGGAAAGAAGAAGAAGATCGGATTAAGAGACATCATTTAAGTAAGTGCTTTCATTAACATTGGGGGGAGGGGAAAAGATTTTTGACTTTAATGTCACTTTAAGTGCTCGTTTTTCTCTAGGTGCTAAAAAAAAGTTATACTCAACCGATCCTCGGAACCGGCTTGCTCTTTCATTCACGCCTAGGCATGTTGTCGCTCATAGTTAAGCGCCACAAATCACTCAAGGCAAGGGATCCCATTAATTTCTATGACCCCCTGTTCACCCTTTGAGCATTTTGGCCCAAGCCGAAAAAACGCTTGTCACTGTTAGTCCCTGTTCACACCTATGCGTTCTGACGCTCAAAGCTAAGTGCGCTCAAAGCTAAGACTCTCAACACAAGAAATCCCATTCATTTCTATGGCCCTTGTTCACACCTGAGAGTTTTGTTGCGAGCTGTAAAACGCTGAACGTTGGAAAAGGTTCATGAGCTTCTTTCGGGCAGATTATAACGCATTTGGCCGCATAGACTTCAATGAAAGTGCATAAAAATGTTTGACAGAAGCGTTTTGCACATGTGCGTTTTGTGCGCACATTTCCTCATTCAAAGCAATGCATTATGATTTGCTGAAGAAAACTTCTTTGCCTATGTGCGTCTAACGCGCATTAAAATGTGCAAAAATATGCATACCATGCCAGGGAAAAGCGTGCATAAAAATGCACATTTTACACGTGGAAACGCTGACGCCTAGGTGTGAATGGAGACTAAAGCGTACACGTTTTGGCAGATTATGGTGCTTTTTGGTCCCATAGACTTCAGTGGGAAACTTCATGCGACAAAACGGTCAGGTGTGAACAGGGGTCATAGAAATGAATGGGATTCCTTGTCTTGAGCGTTATGTCGCGCTTGGCTTTGATCGACAAGACACCTAGGTATGAACGGGACTTAAATCCGTCCCTCCAGCCTCTCTCCCACTCCGCTGTAGGGGTCTAAGGTCATCACATTTAATACACCGTTTATAGGATGTGAAGACGCCGAGGAGCATACCATTGCCTCAGCCGAGGGAGAGACAAGCTGGACGGAGCACAACCAGCCAGCTCCAAGGTCCAGGTGAGTATGACTTTGTTATTGTTGCACCTAGACCAAAACTAGCACTTAACCCTTGCGTGCGGGGGTAGCCCTACTGCAAGGGTTAAAAAAGGTTTTGCCCAGAGTTCTTTTTTAACTTTACCGAACTGTATACATCTTTATTAATGATATTTAACCATTTTAAAAAAAAAATCAGTGCAGGAGGTCCACCCTTACTAAGGCTCCGTTCACACTTAGACATTTTGTTGATCAAAACTAATTGTGCCAAAGCGCTCAGGACAAGGAATCCCATTAATGTCTATGGCCCATGTTCACACCAGCATTTTGTCCCACAAAGTTTTCCATTGAAGTCTACGGGACCGAAAAGTGCTGTGATCTGCCAAAAAGTAACTTGTGTCATTTTTCCAGTGACAGGCAATTTTCTGCTTGCGAGAAAACACTCGGGGGGGGACAGGGGCCATTGTAATGAATGGGATTCCTTGTCTTGAGCGTTTTCTTGAGCTTACCTTTAGGCAACAAAATGCCTGCGTGTGAACGGGGACTTAAAAGAGAACTATGGGGTAAGTGTTTTCCCCCATAGTTCTCTTAAGGGTCACGGGAGGACATATACTAACCTCCTCCCATGAACCAAAGCTCAGTATATAGCGAGCTACAGCTCGCTATATACTGAGACCGCCCCTGGCAGTGACGTATCCCGACATTACTGTCGAGATCCACCTAGCTGCGTGAGTGACAGCTGGCTCTGCCTATCTAGAGGCAGAGTCAGCTGTACCCGACCCCCCCACCGTCCGTTCCTCCAGTCAGTGCTGGAGGATCGGAGCACGGAGGGGGGAATCCCTGCGGGGAGCGGTGACTGATAGTCACGGCTCTCTGCAGGGAGATGATCGAGAAGTGAGCAAGCAATGGTGTGTGGTCGCTCACTTCCCGATCTATTGAGCCGACGTGTGACAGTTTCATTGTCACACGTCGGCTCGAACTATGAGGGTGAGTGCTTTTCACTTACCTCATAGTTCTCCTTTTTAAAGTGACACTAAACTCAGGAGTTAAACCCTGAAAATACATGAACTATGAACAGAAAGCAGACTGTTCTCCCTGCAATAATGTAAACAAAGAAAGAAAAAAAAAACAATGTGGGGTCTCTCTTCCCGATGCGGGGGGTTCCCCCCAAAAATCATACCAAGCCCTTTAAGTCTAGTAGGAATTTTAAGGAGGAACCCCACCCTCAAAAAATGGAGGGGGCATGGGGTCCCCCCTAAATTTCCCAACCAGACCCTTAATCGGAGCATAGACCTGGCACCCAGATGCACCCCCCTTGTGAATCAGTAAGGGGTACTCATTCACAAAAAGGTTCAAATAAAATATAAATAAACACACCACACTTTAAGAAAAAAACCTTCAACTGAAAAAAAACAAAAGTTGTTGACAAGTCCTTTAAAAAAAAAAAGCCCAAAAATAGATCCACCGAGGTAATCCAAGGGTCAATCACGACGTCCAGCCTTGTCCACGACGACGACTCATAAAGAAAATAAAAAGACGCCGCCGACCTGTCCAACTGCCGCAGCAGAATGAACAATCCGGCATATGTCAAATCGCTATTGCAAGTTTCAGCAAAATGAAAACAAATGGGCGGAGTCAGCCGACTCTGCCCATTTGTTGTCATTCAATGACAGCCAACTGTCGCTAAGTCATTTGAACCAAAGAGAGCCGAAGCCAGCCAATGTACGGCTCCGTGAATATTCCCCTTAAACCTTTAAAAGTAAAAGTCCTGCCAAAGATCTGATGTATGTTGTTACTTTTATAAGCTGCAGAAGTCTCGTCTGTGCCCCTTTTTCTTATATACTATTACATAACTATGTAGAGGCACATGTTGGTTGTATGTAATCGTACATGTATGTACAGTTTTACTTTTTTCTGCCTTGCAGGCTGGACCTTTGAGCAAAGTGACCATTGCTAAAGATAAAGAGGGCAACTGCAAGTCATTTGGGTTTGTCTGCTTCCAGCATTTAGAATCTGTACCATATGCTATAGAATTACTAAATGGCATCCGCCTGTTTGGCCGGCCCATTAAACTTCAATATCGAACAGGTGAGTTCAATGTATAGTACAGTATACGCCAAGTGAGGGCATAGTTTGCGTTATTAACGTGTTTTGTATTAGACGTTTTTGTCTGTATGTGACCCGGTTCCCTTCTACCTCTTGCTTAAAGGGTTATTAAACCCTCGTGTGTTTTTGCATATATCTACTGCTAGCAAGCAATAGATATATGCAAAAACATTTATAAAAAAAAAGGGTTTAAACTTACCTTGTGTCTTCGCCGAGTGCTCCCGTCCGAACATCTGAAGTGTCTCAGGTGGCCGCAAAGGATCTTGGGGCGGGCGCATGCGCACTTCAGATGTTCGTCCGGGAGACGAGGAGAGACACAAGGTAAGTCTATGGAGCAGCATGCACCCGCACAGACTCTGTGGGACATCAGAGATGAGGAGGACAGAGAAGTCAGTGTTGAATCAGAGACCCGCACACAGCGCTGGAGGGACAGCTGAAAAGGACAGTAAAGAAGAAGATGATCAGATTAAGAGATATCACTTAACCCCTTCAGGACTGACGACGGGGCTGTCGGCTTTACAATAGAAGCAATTCTGGCGACTCACGTGTCGTCGGATCGCTTCTATGGCCCGGTGAAGGGGTCCCTTTCATTTCAATGGTTGCATTTGACAAGCGGCACCACCTGTCAAATGAAACGTGCTGTATATTTTTTTGCCACACCTCAAAGCATTGTGGCCACTGCAATGTATACAGCACTGTGAGGGCGCAGTGCTATTGCAGCAGGCAGCCTGTGTGAACGAGGCCTTGTGGCCCATGTGTCATTATGGCTCATAGTAAACCCTTTTGCACATAACACTTTCCCTTTTGTTTCAAGGTAACTGTTCTGCTTCATATGTAGTTCACTGTCGCACCTCTTTCTGTGCTCTTCCAGTCCAGTGACTTCACGGGATTTTTTGATTATTATCAAACATCAGCAGATCCAGAGATTTACAGTACTGGGCAATGGTCTTTAGGCTGCCCAAAAAAAATTGTGATGTAAGTGGAGATTTGCTCAGGAAAAAACTGCCTAAAGCATATTCCCTCTAGTCCTGTTCTGCTGACAACTGTAATATGTTGGTTTCCCATCACTTTCTGTCTCAGTGACAATCTACATTGCAGGGACGTAGACAGCAACTAACCCTTTCCTATTCTATTCAAGGTAAGTTTGGCTATAATACAGTTCAGCATTAGAATATATAAACCGTAATACAATAATAAGTAACCGGATTTCTTCAGTACTCCATAAAGTTACAGACGGCTAACAGAAAGCAGGGTTGATAATTGTTAAATGAAACCACTGCTCAGAAAAAGTTTCAGTACTTTTAGGTGTGGGAGGAAATGATAACTATTGGGTATATGGAATGTGACAAACCGCTCCTTTTCGATCCAGGGAAGAGTTGTGGCATTTTATAAGCTGGTGGTAGTAGGTGGTCTGCATAAATAAACAATAGTGTGCCGAGCTGATAATAAAACATGAATATACTAATCACATCACATGAATATGACAATATCGGTGCATAAGTCCTCAGTCGCATGCTAGGCTCTGGCTATCCAAATAACATCAAAAATGTGGTGAGTAAATCCAATGAAGTCCTATAACATCAAAATTCAATGTGAAAGACAATAGAAATTCTTAGGAGATATCTGAAAGGCCACAGCCAAGATGTTTTTCCAATCCTACACCATCCACACCTGGTGAGTACCAGTGTACAGAGGGGTGCTCACCTGAGATGTAGAAATACAGAGTAGGTCTCTTAACGCAGTTCGCTTCTTTGAAAGGTGAGGGAAGCCCTTAATGCGATATCACTGGATCCACTCAGAGCAGCACACGGAGTTAACGGACCCAAAAAGAGGCCAGCAAAGACACAGGGCATACCATCCAGCAAAGGGGAAATTTATGAAATAAAACGGTACTCTGATAAGAACAATGATCTTCGGCATAAAGATAATCCTGAAGGGATGCACACAATGACGAACCGGGATAAAAACGCTCCCGTCCTTCCGGCTCGACTAGAGTGATGACCTATTATCAGCTCGGCACATTATTGTTCATTTATTTGTCTGTCTCATATTGTCAGGGATACCGGCACAGGTGACCGCCACACCTGCACAGGTACCCACACAGGCAGACCAAGCACGCGTGACCACACAGGACAAGGCAGAATGTATGATATACCGTTTTTAATATGCCAACCAGAATGATACAAACAGAAACAAGTCTTAGCAACCAGCTACATCTAAACAACACCACATGCAAGAAGAAACAGGCATGCACACCCAGGGAGCAAAGCAAAACACCAGGGCAACTAAGGGACAAAAGGTCAGGGTACAAGGAGCTAACAGGACTCAGGAACATAAGCAGATCACAGACAACAAGCAGGGAACATACACAGGATACAGGACTCGGGAACAGAAACAGGTTTACAGGACTGGGGACTCAGGCTTAACAGGAAACAATACTGAGGCACAGACCTGACCACAGGGAGGGCTTAAGTAACCTCCCAAGGAGCACCAGGTGGTGGATGAATGGTGGCAGCTGGGAGACACCTGCAGGTGAGCACTGGAGTTGCAGTTCCCAGCACCAACCAGTGGAGGTCTGGTACCTAGCAGTTCCTGGCTGCCTGGAGACCCCCGCAGGTGAGTACGGAAACTGCAGGGCATAGCTCCAGCGCCACCTGGAGGCGCTCTGGATCCTTACACTTATTATTATTATAGTCCCTAGCAGCTTTCACTTCATTTGATTTACTGGCACAGAATTTTTGTACGTAGGTGGTCTCCATAGCCAAAGGAAGGGGATTAACCAATAACCATATTCTTTCCCCCACCTGGGATGGGCAGGGTAGTAGTATGTATTGGGGCTTATTCCGACAGGTGAAAAACTAGCACTATGCACACATTGTGTGCTTTCAGCTGGGGCTAGATTTCTATCCTGTACAGATCAATGGCCAGTGCCGCCACTGTTTGCATGTTACCACTCATACCAATTACTACATGCGATTAGGTCCACTGACTGACCCAGAACGCGGACAGTCTGCAACCAGGGCCGGCGGTTCTGGTTGCATACAAATTGGATGCAGCTAATCATTTACAGGGTTATTCACAAAAGCGTGAAGAGTTTGGAGAAGGCAGGAGAAGTGAACAATCTAGGACAACATAGCTGATATGGAGAAATTCTCCAATTCGGCTCACTTTCCAGTTTAACTATGTTGTCCTAGATTGTTCCCTTCTCCTGCCTTCTCCAAACTCTTCACCCTTTTGTGAATAACCCTGATAGTTTTTATGCTGCTGTGTCCAGATGTAGAGTTTAGCTGCAGCCTATTTGCCTATCTGCATGAAGCTTTACAGAGGAGGACTGCATTTAGGTTGTGCTGGAACTAAGCTGACCCAAACTGCCTCATTCTAGCCTGGAGGCTGAATGTTTTGTTGTATAGTGGATTGCGCTGACACAGACCCCCTGCGAGCAAAACTCTTTTGTCAGGAAGCCCTTAAACGCACTTTGGCATCTGGACTATCTCTCTGCAAGCTCTACATTGGAAGCTGACCCCTACAGTAGAAACTATGTTTTTGGAACGGTGCACATTGATGAGGTAAATTACATAAAGGTCTCATGTACATGACTGCAGTTTTTTCTTGTCAAATGCTGCATTTTTTTCCCATCTGAGCACATGCTTTTAAAACGCGCTGAGTATTCTGACTCCGATTGTTGTATTAGCGATTTATCCCTTGCTGAGACCTCTATGTCTGGCCTGTATAAGCCGATATAATCTCTGCGGGCGATCCTTATCAGATAGCCGAACTCACCAAATACCTTTTCATCCACAATTGCTTTATTCCGTGCATCAGGTTACAGCAGACAACAGGATACAGCAGATGAATGAATGGACGGTATTTGAAGGTCAGAGATAGTAATGTTTCCAAGCATGCAATGCAGATTAACATGTGGTCATGTTACTGTCAGCCATGACACTCGTGGCTCGTACTAACAAGAAAGGGGAAATACATCACAGATGGGAGGGAACACAGAAAGTGTATAGTGCAATAAGTAGAATGACTACAAAATGGCAGCACATGAATCCGCTATAATGCTGCTCACAATATATGGCTTGAGGAAAATAAACTATATAAATTCTAATTTCACATTAATTTGAATAATGATCTAAAATGGCCACAGTTGACTTGTACCCCCATCGACATGAGCCATAAAACAAGTTTGTACTGATACATGGGGCTATAATCCTTTCCTTGGAAAAAAATGCATTAAAATGCTACGAGATAGATGGGGAGAGAGAGAGAGAATATGTCTGCATACCACCCCCAGAGTTCTCTGCAGTGCCTAGGAAAATGTCAAATTCTGCTGCTAGATGCCAGTGTGATCTGAAAGCAAAGTGTCGGCTTGTCATGTGCAGGGCTGGGCATCTGATCATTTTATCGGAGCTTTCAGAAGATCTCATTTCCACAGGCACTCTGGGTTGTCTAAGGACAGAGTTAGTGAACCTATAGGGATGCCCTGACACCTTATGGTGTTTTTATCTAGTGAAATCATTGGTTAAAATATCCTTTTGTGTCAGGAGAGGTTCACTTTTAATCTGATCTCATAAATCAGCTTATTAATGGTTATTGATTCCGTTTCTTTTTTTTTTTTCCTTTAAAAATAGGGAGTACCCACTCTTCAGAATCGGACAGCGTTTTCAAGGGGCCTGAAAATGGCTTTGTCAGTAGTCCTCTAGAATATGGGTGAGAATCATTTTGTAAAGCCCATCAGTGTATTCGTTATGTATTGCATGCAAACCCTAACATTGGACATCTCTTACTTGCTTCCTTTTTAGTCTGTTACAATATATCAGAATGTTTATACTGCTCTGATAAAGTTTTCTGCCATCATGCACCGGGTTGGCTATAAGCCAAGACTATATTCAAAGTAAAGAAAAATTTCCACCAATTTAATTCAATATATATCAAACTAGACCATTGTCTAGAAACTGAAATCAGTTTCCTGGAGATTATACAAATGTATATATTTATCTCCCAAGATTGAAAGATATAATTTGTACTGCAGTTAAAATTATCTCAAATCAATCTAGATCCTACAAGAACTAAATGGTCTATCCAAATATATATGTGGCTAATCAATTGCCTACAGAAATATAGAAATGTATACTTTACCAGAAATGTAAAATTAGTTGTCTGAAAGAAATCAGCGGTCACAGTTCAGAAACAAGGGATGGTCAGGTTCTCTTTAGTTCAGTTCAAGACACAAAAAATCCACAGCTCACCTGCCAGCTAGCCTGCAACAAAACAAATTACCCTGTCAACAGTATGCGTTTAAAAACAGAGGTTTTAGTTGCACAAACTTTTGGCCAAAAATATGTAGAAGCGTGCATTTTTGGTTGCTGGGCCTCCAGTGCATCCCTGCACCTTATAAGGAGAAGTAGGCTACCTCCTGGTACACCTGCATGCAATTTATCGACTGCATTAATATGCTGACACTTGGAGACTCATATAGATAGAGTTAGGACCACACTTTGCAGAGGTGCCTTGGCGCGGCGGTGTGGCTTCTACATATTTTTGCCCAAAAGTTTGTGCAACTAAAACCTCTGTTTTTAACGCATACTGTTGACAGGGTAATTTGTTTTGTTGCAGGCAGGCTAGCAGGTGAGCTTGGGATTTTTTGTGTTTTGTATTGTTGTAAGCCTTCCCATGTGCGCCCTGCCATAAAGGCTGGTTATAGATTCATGCAGATACCATGTTTTTCTAGTGCGATTATGAACTAACCCTTCTCAGAATGCAAGTTGCCTGGATGTCATGCTGATCCAGTGGCTTCAGTCATTTAAGTCGCTGACCTGGAACATGCCCATCGGGAGTTGACTTGATTCTGAATTTAGAGTCTGTATGCCTGTTATGGGCTGAAGATTTGTTGTGAAGGCAGAGACAACCAGGTAACTCTTGTTTTAGACAGTCAGCATTGGAAGCCCCTGTATTTCTCTCAGGCCTTAAAATGTTTATAGGAGTTTATAGTGGGCCACCTGGGGGATGTCCTTCAAAACTTCTATAGGGGATGGGTGTAGAAAAACAAATCTGCCTCGGTGGTCAAATTTACTATAGGTAACCTTCACTGGATTTACCTGATGAAGACCTGCTGAGCTACAATATGTTGAGGAGAAGCAGTTGTCACTTGTTGGTTCTGTATTTTTGTATTCTTGTATATTGATGTGAGTGGAGACCTCAGAAACAGTTGGTATGGTGTTCACAGACAGACTTATTGCACTTGGGTTGTATTATGTGTTCTGTTTAACATTAATGTTGATAAGATACAAATGGGTCCGAAAAATGTGTCTTCTGTATTTGTTCTCTGACCGACTGACTTTGTTTGAAGTTCATTTTCCCAAGTAGCTTTAACAGAGAGCTCATATCTAAAGACTAGACAATGGAGGCTAAACATTTCCAAGGATCATTAGAAAAAGGCAAGCTTTTATCAGGGAAGGTCCTAAATGACCGGGGGCATCCCTGGGTACCTTGACGGATTGTGTATGTTGAACAATAAACTGACTTTTCTTGTCTTGGATGAATTTGGGGATGGATAAGAACTTCTGTTTTTACTGCTATCCGGAGCTCTGTTAGAACTTTGGGAATTGTTGCATACCACGATGTAAAGAGAGTGGAGATGATTCTTGTCCCAGATGCCATATGTTCTCTCTTGCATCCCTTTTGTACTGCACCTCACTTTAATGCCAAAACACCCTCAAAAAACATTGCAGAATTGCTAAGAGGGGTTATTGTAAAACATCAAAGTGGAGGATCTGTCTAGCGAGGTACCAGAGTTAATTCTGACTTGATTATCATTATTGTTAAATTGTCTTCCATTCAAAACAACCGATTCCAATGCGTTTACATTCTTGCTGTGTTGCTTCTTCCTGTGCAGAATGCCTGTATCGGGAGGAAATTATGATTCTTCGCATCCTGCACCTCCTGTTGACAGTAGCTTCTTCTCTCAGGCCTACGTCTGTTTTCAGGGAATGGTAAGCCACTAGAAATGGCATGCTGTATTGCAGTTGCTGGGTGTCATTCAATATTTCACATGTTCAAAAATAGGGATGCACGGATACTTTTCGAGTACCAGTGCAGATACTTGGCATTTTCATGAGAACTACCGGGGTTGCAGCGGTTGCAGCTGGGACCTGGCTCTGGCGCTCCACCACTGTCCTGAAATCATTAGTCTGTATTGTTTTAGAAAAACTGTCACATGACAATAAACAAAAATGTATCAGTACTCGTACTTGTAAGTACTCGGCAAGTACCAGTACTCGTACTCGCAAAACTGGTATCTGTGCATCCCTTTATTTATATTTATAAAAACAAAATCGTACATTAAAACAGATGCACAAATCCCAGGAGCTCCATGTGCTCCTTACAAATGACAGCTGCCTCCTAACTTTTTAATTTTTCTCTAGTGTAGTCTTGGAGCTCAAAAGTATCGGTACATGTACTCGTACTTGTACAGAGTACTGTACTTGGTATCTGTGCAACCCTATTCAAAAGGTTTTGTTTTTCATGTATTAAAGGTTTTTAGCACATTATTCCCCTGAATTTACCACATGCAGGTTATATTATCAACCATAAAATGCATTCCCGATATGTGTTGGATGTATATTTACTGATATGCATTTTTGTGGGGATCCCCTCACAAAACTTTTTTTACCCAAACCTTCATTGGAGGAAACAATAGGGTATTCCCCCCCCTCGCACAGCAAGTGAGGAATTTGTCTTAGGAGTTTGGATGTTGTAGAGACATAGAAAACTGATGGCAGAACAAAGACCAAGTGGTCCACACAGTCTTTCCCATTTATTTATTTTTTAACCTTTTTGTCCAAGTATAGATCTAGGTTTGTCCCAAGCATGTTTAGATCTGCTGCCCCATGCATCAACTACTCTTTCAGTAAAGTAATACTTTAAGTTGGTTTTGAACTTTTCCTCCTCCTAGTGTGAAGTCCTGTCCCCATGCTCTTGATCTTGGCTTCATATTAAGATACTGTCCTCCTGAAGCTTATGCACATCCTTAATGTGTTTAAAGGTTTCAGTCACGTCCCCCCTTACCAGCTCTTTCCTGCTGCTTTTCCTTCCTAATTCTTCATAGTGACAAAGTAATCCTTCGTCCCTTTGCTCTTCTTTCTGCTGAAGGTAGTCATTTCATTCAAAGTATATTGTTCTGCCTTCAGTTTGCATCTCTGCCTTTCATCTCCAGTAAATGGCTGTCCTGGCCTTGGATGTGATGTGGACCCTCAAGGCTTAACTTGACTCCCTGGCTTCCATCTGTAAGATTCCTTTAGCAAATCCAATGACTTTTAATAACCATAGATGCAACAGAATTTTTTCGAGGACCCTCAGGGATGACTAGACTATTTTGCTTACCTGTTCCCTTCATGCTCCACCCTTTCCAGCTACTGTTCATTCCACCTATGCGATTAGAGCGTCTTTGGCCTTTCACCAGCATGCTATTAGTGCAATGAATCGGCATGACTGGTTGGGCAACAAGTACTGTAGGTAGCTGCATGGTTCAGCCAGATCCTATCATAATCTGGTATATTTTTTCCCACCTCTATAGATGAACCAGTTCTTTGCACTACAGAATCCTGCATTTGGTTGGACAGCGCCAGAGCAACAAGGCTATGAACAGTTCTTTCCATGGAACAAGCAGACCTCAATGTACCCTTATTCCGGACCTCAGCCAAGCTGCAGTACTGTTCCAGGTTCTTCCAGCTGGGATTCGGAGATGGCTCAAGACTGCAGAATCAGCCAGAGTGAAGCAGGATCTCAAAATCATAAGAGAACTGCGGAGAACATTGACAGTGATAGCTCAGAAACAAGTCTTCGGGAATACAAGCCTAGTAAAAGACAAAGAAAGCTCAGAGCAAAGAAAAAGAAGAATTTGGTGTATTGCACTAAATAAATTATAAGTCATTGGGCACTAGTTAACATGTCCCTGAATAACCTGTTATGCTCTGAGTGCACTGAGTGTACACTTTCTGCACACATAAGCCTTCTAAACACCGGGCTCTTCAAATACATCTTCCACTTCTGCTGCTGTATCCAGTATATAAAGTTTCTGCCACATGCCTGAGTCTATTATCACATGCATTAAAGCTTTAACTATGAGTGATGGTGCCCCAGAGTAAAACCATTTTGGGCCCTCTGTCTGCCTGCCTAATCTTCTCAGACAGATTAAATGCTTTCATAATGTGTGCGTGTGTGTGTGCGCTACTATGGCTCTAGTTACATGCCTGATGTGAGTGTTAAAACTCTGTGAGATGTTGCTCAGTGCTGGGTTCACCTTGGAACTTCCACTTTTATTGATGCTTCCATCACTGAGCACAATGTTGTCATTACTGACACCCCTGACCACCGCTGAGAACACATTTCTCTGTAGTTAATGCTCTTATACAAATGCTGCTAGTGGGTCTTGGCTGGAGCAGTGAAGCGTGTGTGTATAAATCCTTCCTTAGATACTGGCTCTTGTGTTTCTATACTTGAAAAATGTAAACACATATAAGTTAATAAATTAAATATGCTAAATTTGGGGTTTAATTCCTTGACTAAAAGCAAAACTGAAGGCCAACGGCTAAATATGCAGTTAAAATGTACACTGCCTGGCCAAAAAGAAAGTCACATGCTCTAATATTTTTTTTATTGAGCCACCTTTGATTACGGCATGAATTTTCAGCGGCATAGTTTCCCCCAGCTTATGCAATGTCACAATATTTATTTCCATCCAGAGTTGCATTACTTTTTCACCAAGCTCTTGTAGTGATGATGGGAGAGTCAGACCACTGTGTAAAGTCTTCTCCAGCACATCGCAAAGATTCCCAATGGGGTTAAGGTCTGGATTCTGTGGTGGCCAATCCATGTGTGAGAATGATGTCTCATGCTCCCTGAACCACTCTTTCACAATTTGAGCCCGATGAATCATGGCATTGTCATTTTGGAATATGCCCATGGCATTAGGGTAGAAAAAATAAATTGATGGGAAAAACCTGGTCATTCAGGTGGGCAGCTGACCTCATTTTTTGGGGTCCTAACTACGCTGAACCTTGACCTTTTATCCAGTGGAAGGCTCTGACCTATATGCTTAGCGAAATCAAAGTGGGGACTTTTTTGTTTGCCAGGCAGTGTATATGTGAACTATTCTGTCCAAATATTTGTCATGTTGTTCAGTCGCACTACCAACAGTCTAAGAGCTCTACCACAGAGCACAGCCAGAAATGTGACCTTATTATATCCTGTTCCTGCTTTAAATCATCCAATGTCAGCTGTTTGCTCATTGGACAATGACCAGACTCGGTGTGCAGTGAGGAGGCAGGTGACTCTCGGATTCCACCACACCTCCAATCTGTCAATCTTGCCGAGACTAGATTGCTGATGTTTACCAATCATGTTTTATTCTTCTAATCCTTGCAACTGCTACTGTTTAGGTTGTTTTTAGCCTTTTAAGTATTTTGTGCTACAATAAAGTATAACTATAGACCAGATAAAAAATAGACTGCATCATATACAGCATGATGTCAGTATCATAAATGCAGCAGATTTTCTGGGTCCCCTGTGACATGGGTTTATTACTTGTTTCTTTATTTTTCCCCCTTCCCTTATTAGACCAAGCTGTCAAAAGTTTCAGGTTTAGGGTTGGAACAAACCATTTTACACTGCCAGGGATGATTACAACATTTGGCTTTTATTTATATGACTTAATACCTGTTTCTGTAACTGCTTAAAAGGTTTAAGCGGTAGTTAACTAAGCGATGAAATAAAGCCCAAAGTGACACTAAACTCAGGAGTTAAATCCTAAAAATGCATTGAAGTACCTTTTATCTATTAACAAAACTGTATCTTATTTGTGTATCACTCGGCTGTGGATCCTCAAATCATCTCTGAATTGGTGCTAACACTGTCCTTCCTTCTGGAGGGTGGCTACTTTTGTTCCTGTGTGTGTTGTAACGTAGTCATCTCTCCGAGCTCACTCCTGCGATGGACTCAATACAAAGTCGTAAACTGAACACGAGACTGTAGTCCATCACAAGAGCCGGCTTGGATGAAGGCATATACACCCTAACATCCTGAACCTCAAGAAACCTAAACTCTGATTTCCTCCCGTTAAATATACCACTAAAAGCATTTAGTTATATCTGCTTTTGCATTAAGGTAGTTCATTCATTTTTAATGGGTTTTCAATGGATATCAACTCAGACCTCAAAATAGGGTGTCCATGTGGCACGGGGCTGCCATTTATTTAGAATGGCCCCACCACACAGTGTATGCAGTGGATGATAATGCACGTGTGCTACATCACACCACAATGCACATGCCATGTGTTTTAGTGCATTGTCACAAATAGTTCAGGTGCAGTGACAACCCATTCAAAGGTGAAGGGGCACTGAAAAAGTATTGTAGATCAGTCTAGGAGCTTGTGTAATAGTGAGTGTAGTGGGGCGCTCAGCAACCCATCTATCGCAATCTACCTGTTGATGGTGGATAGGTGTTGGAGGCAGCAGAGAACAACTAGCACAGCCACAGGATAACAGCGGAGGCAGCAGAGACCAGTTAGCATAGCCACAGGCTAACTGCGAAGGCAGCAGAGATCAGCTGGCACAGCCACAGGATAACAGAGGAGGCAACAATCTCAAGTTTACTCATTTGTAGATTGTAGTCCATCACAGGAGCGAGCTTGGAGTGGTGGCTACTTTACAACACACACAGGAACCATGGGGAACAAAAGTATTCACCCTCCAGAAGGAAGGACAGTGCCGGCACTAGACATGTGCGATTCGTTTAGTTCCAAATCGAAATTCGGACGAATTTTCGGACATTCGGATGTATCCGAATTCCGAATTGCAGACATAACGAATGCAAACCAATCCGAATTTCCATTTCCGAAATTCGGTAGCGGTAGTCCGAACGTTTGTTTCGTTTTCGTTTCTTATTCGTTTCGTTCGTTGGAGCAAAGTGACATTAGAGAAGGAGAAAAATATTTTTTCCCCCTCAAATGTCATGAACAAACGAAACGAATAAGAACAGAAAACGAAACGAACGTTCGACCTACCGCTACCGAATTTCGTCCGCATTCCGAATTGACTTTCACACCCGAATCCTAAACGAAATAACACAAATCCGAATTTAAAACAAAACTAAACTAAACAAATTTTTTGCCAGTGCACATGTCTAGCCGGCACCAATTCGGAGATGATTTGATGATCTACAGCCGAGTGATACACAAATAAAATACATTTTTGTTAATAGTTCAGGTTTTCAGGTACTTGAATGCATTTTTAAGATTTAAATCCTGAGTTTAGTGTCACTTTAAGGAATGAAAATCAGAGGCCTTTAAAACATGCTATGCACATTCTTGATTTATTCACAGGCTTGCAATCTCACTATAAAATAGGGAATTAAAAATCCTCCCACTTACACCCACTTAGAATGCATAGGAGAAAGTTGCATAGAGAGTCATAAATATTACACATCTACGACCTTCAAAGCATCTGAGGCAACTGTAGGAGATGACCTATTCTATGAGCCAATGCAAGAGCAGCAGCTAAAGGACAATTCTTCCACATCATTTACACTGACAAAGCAGGCTAACTCACTCAGAGACTGACTATTAATCCAAGCTGAATGTAAGTCAGTCAGTCAGTCTGTCTATCTGTCTAAAAACCTGAGTTCTGTGACATTAGAAATCATAGGTATAACATAAGACGTGAATTACCTCTAATTTGCTCCAGCAATATGACTCACAGAGTACTGGTGATTGGTAGCAGTCCCTGCGAGGAGAGCCTGTGCATGAGTCTGGCTCAGTCTGCCCAGGTAAAACAGGTTCTATTTGCTCCTGGAAAAGATGGCACACCAGACAGTGGGAAAGTATGTAAGTCAGGTAAGAGAAAAATCTAATTTAGAATAATCCTGTGAATTATATTACAGAATGCTTGCTTAAAGGATTAAAACAAAATTATTTCCCTCCTCCTCTACTTTGCTTTTTGTTTTCCCGTTGTTCATCTCCTTATCAATTTCCTTTTCTCCTTTTTTTTTTTCTATCGTCTAATATATTTTCTTGTTTTGCTTCCCTTATTTTCTTGTTTTGCTTCCCTTATTTCCTGTGCCATTATTTTCCATTTCCTGTTTCCCTTTTTTATTTTATTTTGTCTTTTGTATGTGTCCCGACTTCCTTTACTTCTTTTCCCTTTGTATCTCTTTTTTATTTTTTTTTATTTTTTCCTATTTTTTGTATTATTTCCCTTTTCTTGTTTCCCATTTTCCCTTTCTTACATCCAGAATATATGTTAACGATGCTGCTATACCATACATAATTACAGTGAACAGGATTAATCAATATAGCAATATATGTTTTCTGCTAATTGTTCTGTTCATTCACTGAAGCGGTGTTAACCAGTAACCGAGCACTGATGAAGCAGTTCTGCAAAGACCACAATATTAGCCTCGTGGTGATCAGCCCCATTCCGCTTCTCACTGGTGGTAAGATCAATTACACACACACATACATTGAAACATATTTAAACCGAAGAGCAAAAATGTAATATATTGCAGCTTTCCTTAGATGTGGTGGTTGCATTGGTTTGCTTTTTTTCCTTTATTTTCACCTGGAGATTCACACAGTAAGTCTGTTATTTTTCCAACTTCCTTTAAAGTGACACTAAACTCAGGAGTTAAATCATAAAATTAATTCAAGCATCTGAACTAATGACAAAAATGTATCTTTTTTGTGTATCACTCGGCTGTAGATCCTCAAATTATCTCTGATTACTTCAAATTCCTCTGCCATTTTTTTTTCTTCTAATCCTTGCAACTGCTACTGTTTAGGTTGTTTTTACCCTTTTAAGTATTTCGTGCTACAATAAAGTGTAACTATAGAACAGATAAAAAATAGACTGCATCATATACAGTATGATGTCGGTGTCATCAATGCAGCAGATTTTCTGG